ACTGTTAGACTCACTTATATCCACAAATTAAGGAATGATATATTTTGACTAGTTCTTTAGAAGACTTCTATTACAGAAATGTGTAGATTTTCCAAACTGCTGTCACGTGACTTGAATTTTATTCTTGGTACTGCCTCTTTCTTACTTAGTGATTTATCCTGGTCCCATGAAATAAAGCTAACCTTTTCCTTCTGAAAAAGAATTAAAAAAATTAAAAGTAGTTATGGAAATATATTTGGCAGATTATTTGGATTTCTTTTCAGTATAGTCTTTAATATAATTTGAATTCACAGTCATCAATTTTAAATCTTTTTACTTTATGATCTAACTTTGAACATAATGTTAAAAGTTTCATCAGTGAACTATTTTATCTAAATCCTAAAAATGTTTGGGTATATTTTACATATATGTAAATATGCAATTTCTTGTCTTGAGGTTAGATTTTATTCCTAGAAATAGGAGTTTTAATCAAATAGATTTATTCAAAAGCCTAATTTTTCAAGTAAGAGCATGCTATGCATTAAAAGTAAGGTCCTGGAACTAATCAAAGTAAAGCATCATACCATAAAATAATAAAGACCACTTTAAGATAAATTGTAAGAAAAAGCAACATTTATTGACAGTAACCAATAACATTGATCTTCATATTTGAAGAAACAAAACTCACCAAATGATCAAAAAAGAATTTCTGCTTTGGACAGCTGATATATACTTTATCAAAAAAGGATGTTTAATATTCAAAACAGAATCATAGCAACTTAATTTATTTAGCACAATTTAGCAAGGGGGTGCTACTGTAGTTCATATGTTACTTGTGCATAGAATTTATGATTATATCTTATTAAATTATGTCTTTGTCATTACTACAACTGAGTAGTCACCGCTTATATGCAGTTTCGTTTTCTGTGATTTCAGTTACTGGTAGTCAACCGCAGTTCGAAAATGGGTGATTATACAATAGTGCAATAAGATATTTTGAGTGAGAGACCACATTTACATAACTTTCATTAGACCACATCCACATAACTTTAATTATATTATATTCTAATTGTTCTATTTTGTTATTTTTATTAATCTCTTACTGTGCCTAATTTATAAATTAAACTTTATCATAAGTATATATGTATAGGGAAAAACATATACAGGGTTGGGTGCTATCCTCGATTTCAGGTACACACCGGGGGTCTCGGAATGTACCCCCCCATGGATAAGAGGAGATTACTGTATAGTATCTTTATTAGTCAGAAATTCCCCAGAATTAGTTTGTTTGAATGTGTGGAAGGAGGATGTTCATCCTCCACCCAGCCCCCAGCCCTGCCTGTTAAAACTCTATCCTCTTTAGGGCTGGCAAGGATTACTGTTATTCAGGGCCCAGATCAAACTCATCACATCCACAAAATTTTCCATATTTCTTCTTCTAAACTCAGGAATCTATATCTCCTTATAGAATAAAAACCTTGGCACTATGTTTTTACTTTATATTATTTCATGGGTTCTGTCTTATTTTTTTCATATGTCCATTGTATACGTTTTCAAGACAGGGGTTGTTTGTGCTTTACATATATGTATATCCCGTAACATGAGGCCATAATATTAATAGGTGTTTAGTAGTTTGTCAACTCAAATTGAGTTAGAAATTTGACCCATTAACAATATAAGAGTCATTACATTTTTGAAGCTAGAACAAATTAAAATCGGTCATTCTTTTTATTTC